ACACTTAAACTAGATTATAACAATGAACACTTAAACTAAATAAATAAATGAATAGTTAAACTAACTAAATAAATGAATAGTTAAACTAATAAATAAATGAATAGTTAAACTAGATTATAACAATGAACACTTAAACTAAATAAATAAATGAATAGTTAAACTAACTAAATAAATGAATAGTTAAACTAACTAAATAAATGAATAGTTAAACTAAATAAATAAATGAATAGTTAAACTAACTAAATAAATGAATAGTTAAACTAGATTATAACAATGAACACTTAAACTAGATTATAACAATGAACACTTAAACTAGATTATAACAATGAACACTTAAACTAGATTATAACAATGAACACTTAAACTAGATTATAACAATGAACACTTAAACTAGATCCCAATAAAGCGCACTTAATGAGTTTACCTGAAACATACAGGTCAACACTGTATCGCTTCTGGCCTGCTATATTCTCTGCTGTACAGGTGTAAAATCCCGAGTCAGACAATGCAACAGCATGAATTATTAACCTAGTTCCGTCCACTCTGACATGGCCTGCATCACTGATCACCTTTCCATCTGGACCTTCCCACCAGATTCGGGGCTTTGGATGACCAACTGGATGCTTACATGCGATTTCAAACACTCCATTTTGAGGAACCACGGTCTTCTCACCTGATTTTACTGGTGGCTCAAATGAATCCTCTGTGATGTCACGCAGAACTAAAATAAAGTTATCATATTAGTTAACTTATAGCAGTATTAAAGTATGAACCAAACTGAATGTTATTTACATTAAAGCCAATTTTTAGCCGCGGCTCATAGAATGGCTCTGATCTATTCAAGTACAAATATTAAGCTCCTAGTTAGTAAAAAGGAAAAAAAAAGGTCTCATAGATTAATTTACTTTAATCATGACTAAAATAATTTCAAGTGCCGCGGCTATTTAGGACTCCTCTTGTTATTCTTCTTATTTTTTCAAGTATAAACTTCTAGTTCATAATTCCGTCATCTCTTGACCGATATGAAATCTAATTACAGACTTGGACTCAGGAGGTCAAACCCTTTCGATTAATTATTTGACCCCGTCCAAGATCTCATAGACTAATTTACTCTAATCCTGCCTAAAAGAATTTCAATTTGAAGGTAGGCTTGTAGAGATCCTGATGAGTAATAAAATCGAATCGGGTATACGCGCGCCCCACGTTTGGTATTACAAGCGTACAAAAATATAGCTAATACAAAGGAAAAATGGTATCATTGATTAATCTACTCTAACCGCGGCTATTGAGGATTCCCTCTTGTTTTGTATATATATCACAAAACTTAACGACTTATCGTCTTTCTCATAAGTTGAGTAAAAATGTAAACCACCAGTTTGAACTTAATCTAGAGATATTTGCGTGTCCGCCAATAACTTATATCCTAAGTTTATTAATGGACTGATCTTGTCACAATATACCAAAATTCAGTTCCGATAAACACAAAAAATCCCCTAATGTCAGTGGCGTCAGGCCACATACCCCCCCCCCCTCAAAAATTCTTTGAACCCTGTTTGAAAATTTGAATTAGTTTTTTATGTGCCCAATATCTTGTTTTTACAGTGAATGAACTTATGTACAATAAGGGTTCAACGCCGGGTAAATTGACTTCAATAACGTCGTTAAGGGCCATTATTTTAATTGTGGGAACAGACTTAACCACACAAACTCTGGGGCTAACTCCACAATATATTTATTTAATGCAAGCTTTCATGCTTACTTACGGGCTGTTCGTTATGCCGTTCGATATGAAAGTCACCCACATTGTTTTTTTCTTCCTATAATAAATCGTGTGTATAGAATATGGATATAATTATTAAATTGATAAGACGCGCAGTTTGTTTTTTGTTTTCTGTTTATGACATTTAACGTTAATATTCAAACTGTACTTCGCCTGACGAACAGCTCACAAGTGAGCTAGAAAGTTGATGTTATGTAAATAGATTAAAGTAACAACAAAGTCTATTTTGTAAAGTTGTTAAAAGTCAGAAGAAAAAGCTGTTGATTTTAATACCAGCATAACATTATAGGTGACTTGGGTGAGTCTTTAGTCTTCTAGACTCATAAGAAATGTTCTTTATAATTTATAAAACAGTGGCAGACAGTTTTTCGCCAATTACTTTTTTATCTACTTATCTGATTATATTTTTCATCTACAAAATGCTTCTGATGTCGCTTTTTTTAGATGAAAAAACCCGAACAACTTATATATCAAACACAACATTTATTAAATGAAAT